GGATTAATTATGTAGTTCCAATCTGGCCCTTTTATTAGTATCAGGAATGTTCGTTTCCTAAGTTGTACATGACAGTCATTTAAAACTCCATCTGGCTTTTTTGATTTACACTAGGAACTTCCGTGCTAAGAGTTCATGAATATATTAACTGCACTGATTTTTTTCTTCCTCTCCTAAAGAAAAAAGTTTTCAACAAAAAGCTTAAGTACAAAGAAACCTGTAAATGCCTGTTAGCATGTGGAAATTTAGGAAGTAACAAAGAAAGATTCTGTGCTGCTTCACATAAGGAGAGATTTAAAAAAAAAAAAAAAAGAAAAAAAATCCAAAAGAGCCTTCACTTTACTTTGTCTGCCACTGACCTTTAGACCTGACACCCACTGCATCCTGTGGGAAACTTTTTCTAAGAGCCAGATTTCTTATAAATATTTTAGCAGATTTAAGCATCCAGACTACATTTCATATGCCTACATCTACAGAATGAAAAGGCTATTGAATAATGACAATATATATGTAGACTTTCATATTCACGTTACTATCTGTAAAGCAATAAAATATAACGTAATGGAATTTTGAGTGTGCCAAATGCAGATGCTTTTTGAAGTTTTGGTGGCAGTTTTTATTTTGTTGGGTTTTTTTGTTTTGTTTTGGGGTTTTTTTTTTGGGGGGGGGGTTTATTTGTTGTCCTTTTTTTTAGTAAGGTTTACTCTTACAGCTGCTACAAGTCTCTAAAATGAATAAAATGGCACTGCTGTCCATCTTCCTGCATATGGTTTTAAAACAGATTTGCATATCCTCCAAAAATAACAAAAGCACCAGGAAAAAGCCTACACATTCCTAGACTTGTGTGATAAAAGCAATAGTGATAATTCAGTTCCCTACTCAAAAAAAAAAAAAGTCAAGTCCCTCTTAAACGTTCTGCCAATACATTTCCTTAAACTCTGCAAGAACAGCTCACTTACAGGAATTTGTTTAGCTTTTAAGTGTCAAAGCACTGCACCTGTTCCTCTTCAGATAACCAGTCTCCTTGTCAAGTCTTATATTCCTCTTGTTTCTCCATTACAACAAGAAATTGTTTTGTGCAGTACAGAACAGATCACTTGTGGAAAGTCACAGGAAATGGTTTTTCATTACTTCCATGGGCCACATCAGCACTCTTCTCCTCGTATGCTTCTCCACATCAACCCTTCTTCCCTTCCATATATGGTTCCACCGCAGAGCTATACATCTTGTACAGCCTTGTACGCGACTGTGCTACATCAGTGCTCATAAGGAAACTTTCCAGCTGTACAAAACAAGCCATGGAGGCAGCCAAGGACAACCACGATCACAGAGACAGGTAAGCAGGAATTGGCTTCCTCACACTGCTAGAGCACTAACAAAAGAGACTAGAGTATATTTAAGAAACACTTTTTATTTTTTTAAACTGAAACATTAGCTACTGTTCACAGAAGGTGTCTGATTTACTTAAACTATAAACATTGTGTTACTGCAGGATTTTATGCCAGCAAGTTTCAGCTAGATTTAGCAAGCAAGAAAAACAGAAGGAATGTTTGTTTTTTGAGAGCTTATAATGGAGGGTTTGCTTCAATTTCACCCATCAAGTGACAGTATCTTCATTATGCATGACTAAATGCTAACTACAAGAACAAGTTTAAAGCATTAGTATCTGAAGGCACAATTCCTCACAAAGACCTTGTTACAAGAAGTGCACAGTAATAGTCTATAAAAGCCTTTATTTTCCAGTCTTAATATTATCAAAGTTTCTGCTGAAACTTTAGTCCTTTGGTTTTTATGGCTGTTTTATCACCAACCATCAAAACTGCATTAGTGGTCCATCTATGTATGATACAGATCAAGGCTCCTGTCCAGTAAAACCTCTCTCTCACGATAATCTCCATAGCCACATTACTTCACAGTGGTTACAGTTCCCATTACCAAAAGGAGCAGGGGGACAAGCTGTGTCTCACTCCAAGTTATTCCTCAGATGTCTCCAAGGACAGTATTATGCTCCTGGCATAGATCTCTTCAGCATGCTGGTAAGAAATTTGCATGTAGACATTTGAGACAACAAGCAGCCAGTAACTATTCAGCTCTCAAAACCTACAGTAAGATAACGCCAATGAATTTTCATGCATGAGAACAGCAGGACAGGATGTACAGTGCAAGCTTACATAAGACACTAGGCACTGATGGGAACCAACAGAAGTGAACAGCAGAAATGGCTCAGGAAAATACTGATGTCACTCATATACGTTTGGGTTGCACTGGCCAAGTTTCTCTGATCCTAAAACTGGCCTTTCTAGCTGTTTGTAAAAACTCAGTTTGCTCTGTTCTACAGAAATCCTGAAAAATAACTTGTTTTCAAAAACCCGTATTTCTTCCTAATATTAGGATGAAAAATAAAAAAAAAATAAAATCCAAGTAGATTCTATATTTACTGTAGCACTTATAAGCAATAATCTAAAGAAAGCCAGAAAATGTAATGGAGAACTGGAAAAAGCATGTAATCATGGACACTAATACTTGCTCCTAATACTGAAAAAATAGTTCAAGCACAACTTATCTGTTTTAAAATATGACCTCTGCAAACCTACTAAGGTCAATGAGACTTAGAGTAGTTATTCAGTGAGCCCTTCTTGCATAAATTAAAGATGCCTTAGGGTAGCTATGAAACCGAGTATTTGATTTTTCCAGGGCACCTACATATTATGAATTAACAATGAATTGCCATTTTAGCACAGCAGTTTTTGGTTTTATTAAGGGAAAAAAAAAAAAAAAAAAAAACAAAAAAAAAAAAAAACAACAACACACAAACAAACAATCCCAACTATGTTGTGCTTACCTCCTCCGACACACGAAAGCTTTCCTATTTAATGGTAAAACTGATTATAGAAGTTTCATATTAACTTGCATAGACAAGTGAGAAACTATATATCAAGTTCCTTTCAAAAAACCCCTACAATGAGTCAAATAGTGCTTCTTCCTGGTGTACCCTTCTACAATAGTCTCAAAAAAAAAAAAAAAAACGAAAAGAAAAAGAGACAAGTAATCTAGCTGCGTAAGTTAGTATAAAGCAAAACTGTAAAGAGGGAAAACTTAGCTAGCTCAGGTCAGTATTCACAGCAGCAGCGGCAACTCTCAGCTCTGTGCTTGGCTGCTTTCACCTGTTACTGCAGTGGCTGCACACCACTTCAGAGCAGTGTGTGAACCATGACAGGTAACTCCTTCATAGCTCTAGGACTCCTGTATCGAAGTTTTTCCCTATGGTATACTTCAGGCATTTGATTTCCTGTAGAGAGCATCATATAAAGTGGGAGGAAAAATAACTGTTCCTAAAAGTGTATTCAGTTTATCTTTCATTACCCATGAACATATTGTCACTCTGTTTAGTATCTTCCTGCAAATACAGAGGCACCCTGAGACAGCATCGAGTTAATGCAACTACCCAACCCTGGCAAGTACCACTAAATGGTATCACTGCAAGTTACAAACCGTTGCCAGAAGCAATTTCTTCATCATATCCAGTATATCAGAATACTTCTATTCCAGTTCCCTACCAAAACACCAAATCTAACACCATGTAGCTCAGAGATGCCAACTATCTGAGATAATCGGTCACATTAGAATTTCACAAGGTTCCCTCAGCAATGGAAGAAGACACCAGCTTTGTTCTAGGGAAAGAGGAGGAAAAAAAGACCCACAAACTACTTGCACTGTGTAATGGCAGCTCTTTGAAAGCATATTAGCACACACTCTTCATAAAAATATGAAGTATAAGATGACCACACAGTACAGATCATGCAGCATCACAGGTTATTAAATATCTTTTTAAGCAAGTGACTATTTCCATCAAAGCATAGCTACTACAAGAAAATTCCGCAAGCGAAACACTCACATCCTGGCTAAAGCCTCTATGCTTCTGTAGTAGAAATAACATTGCTATCTACATGTTATTACTATAGCAGATAAGTATTTCACAGTCATTAGTACATTTATTCACAGAACGTTTTTGGAAAGCACCGCTATTCCTCATTCATAAGCAAACAGAGGACTGATGCAGAAAGACTGATCCAAGGTCACAGAGTAAGTCTGTGGTGAAGTAAGGAAGTTCACCTGGTTTTGCCTTCATGCAACTAATACTTTCTGTTAATGAGTCATTGCTGCTCCTCTAAATTACTCTTTAAACATGAAGAGACAACAGACTGCCTGTGGCATTCAAACTCTACATGCTAATAGAAGCTTCACTCCCAGGGTTTTCTAAAAAATATCACACCCCAGGGCCTTGTTCTATACTATCACAGAATCTTACTTCAGCGCTGGGTTGCTGTAGGAAAGAAAAGGGATGGATATATACACACACACATATATATATATAATTATGGAGTCTGCCTTGTTTGTGATCCAGCTTTCTCACTGAAGAAACAAAAAAATCAGTCCTTGCATAGTTTTACTCCCTCGTGCTACAGACCACCGCGCAAGGGCAAAGTGCAGGGAGGAAGGGGCAGTCAACTCGGGAGACAAGTTATGCAAAGCTGGGGGCCGGGGTGGGGGGCAGAAGTCCCTACAGTCCACAAAAAAAAAAAAAAAAACAAAAACCAAACAACCAAAAAACCACAACTTCTGTTCCCAGGTCAACGAGGTCAAAGCGCCATGAGGAGGGAGCGCAGCCCCCAGCGGCTCTGCGGTGGGAAAGGGACCCCCAGCACGGGGGTGACACGGTGAAGGGTGCGGGGCTGCTCTCTCCCCCCCGCCGGAACCCTGTGTCTCCCCTCCAAGTGCAAGGGGGTGGCGAGCCCCCTCCCCAGCCTCACCCCGCTGCCCAGGGGATGGCGGGGGCCGATCCCCCCACCCTCCCCACCACTCGGCGGAATCAGGGCGCTCCCCCGCCCGCAGCACGGCCCCGGCCCCCTCCCCGCGCCCCGCCCGAGGCCGCGGCCCGTCCCTCGCCCCAACCCGCCTCCACAGCGGGGCGGCCCCGCCGGGGCGCGGCTCCCCCGTACCTGTGAGGGCCGGCGGGCGGCTGCGGCCGCGCTCCGCCGCGGGGCCCGCAGGGGCCGCCTCGCCCAGCCCGCTCGCCGCCCCCCGCCGGCGGCCGCCGCCGCCGCCGCCGCCCTCGCTCGGCCGGTGGGTCCGGCGGAGCCGCCCGGCCCCGGCCCCGGCCCGGCGGCGGCCGCGTCTCCTCCTCGCCTTTAGTTTGACCTTTTCCGTGTCTCCGCTCTCTGTCCCCGACACACTTTGACGTCACTCCCATGGCAACCAGTCCCCGCCCCCTTTCACCTCGCGCGCGCGCTGCCCAGCTGCCTCCCCCATTCCCCCTTCCCTTCACGCCGCCACCGCCTTCTCCCATGACGTACGCGCGCACGCGCCGCCGGGTGAGGAAGGGCCACCCCCCCCTCCTTCGCGGCCAATGAGCGTGCTGGGTGGGCGGGGCGCCGCTGAGGGCGCGGTGCGTCGTGTTGAGGGCGCGGGGCGTGTGTGGCCGTTAACGGGAGGGCGGGAGATGCTGCGTGCGGAGCGGGGCGGGGCGGGGCGGGGCGGGGCGGGGGGAAAAGCTGCGTGGGGAGCGGGGGGAACGTTGGAGGCGGCTGCCGCGGAGCGCGGGGCGGAGCCGTGCGAGAGGAAAGGCCTCTCGTCCCCCCCAGAGCAAAGATGAGGGCAAAAAAAGGGAGGGCGCTTCCCCAGAGGAGCGGATCCGCTCCAGAGGGAGAAAGGAAACTTAACACGTGAATTTAAACGCTGCCGTTTCTCTGCACACACATGCACAAGCCAAGCGAGTGCCGCCATGGGTTGCCTGCTCTTTATCCCACGGTGCTCCTGTATTCCCCGAGGATCATCATCATAACATCATCACAGAAGACTGGGTTGGAAGGGACCTCAAGGATCATCTGTTCCAACCTTTCTTGGGAAAAGCACGGTCTAGACAAGATGGCCCAGCACCCTTGTCCAGCTGAATCTTAAAAGTGCCCAATATTGGGGAATCCACCGCTTCCCTGGGGAGATTATTCCAGTGGATGACTGTTCTCATTATGAAAAACTTTCCTCTTGTGTCCAGTTGGAATCTCCCCAGGAGTAACTTGTACCCCTCACCCCTTTTCTGTTGTGTGGCTCCTTGTAAAAGGGAATCTCCGTCTTTGTAGCCACCCGTTAGATACTGGAACATGGTGATAAGGTCTCCCCTAAGCCTTCTCTTCTCAAGGCTTTTTCTCAAGGATCAGGCTGCTTTCCCAGTCGCACAACTTACAGCATGTTCCCGTTGTTTGGGGAGCATATGGGCAATTGCATTTTCCCCAAAATATTTGGCATAGATATCATATATGTAATGTGTATAACATATGGAAGGCTGCATATCTCAATGCCTCAGTGCACAATGTGTTCATAAATTTTTTATGTGTAAATACTTTGTTCCAAATGCTGTCAACTGCAAAAAGGTTACACACACGCAGCGTGCAACCTGTGCAAGGTCAGTGTGTTAGACTCTGGGTTTGTACCTTGTTTCATGAAAGGTGTGTGCATTAACAAAACGTTACATATTGCAGGCCCTATTTTGAGATAAGTGGGCAGGCATGATGTTTAAACACATTATCAATTAGCAATTACACTGTGTCTTTCATCTACCCTACATGCAGAATACACTGCATACTTTATATGTGCCACATATCTGTGACAGCTCCAAAATGACAGTTTCAAACGATTTTTAATCAGAAATATTCATTCAGAAATACAATCCAGTATTCATCAGAAATACATACTGAGATATATTCAATGAACCCTTCCTGAAGATGGATAAAAGGGCACGGCTACAGTTTCCTTGCCTTTGAAATTCATGATACCTTTCTCCCAGAGTATTAACGAACCAGTTTGAATCCCATCACGGCAAGACCAGGATCTGCAGTGTGAATTCATACATGGTCTGGGTCTCACTCATTTGAAGGCAGAGATTTAATAAGGATATAATTTCAAAGAGATCTTTTTAACTATCACTGAATTTGTGACATGGCTTATTTATTACCAGCCCAACTACATTTAGTGTTGTATTACCGAGTGCCAGCAAAACACCCAGATGTGATGATACTCAGCTGGAGCACTGGGGTGGGAGGGGGCTCCTACACAGGCGCAGTGTGGTGTGCGCAGGGTTAGGTGCTGACCTGCCTGCTGAGGGTAACGCCAGCCCGTCCCGGGGAGCCTGTGCGTGGATCTGCTGGCTTTGCACAGCGCTTCTGGTAGGTCCCAGCTCTGCTGAAGCTTGCTTTTTGATGGGTCTCTTGTTTTCTTCCAATCTCCAAACCATGAGGTTGACTGTGGCTGGCTCGTGGGGCTGTGAAGGGGATGAGTTTGGCCTGTCAGCAGCAACCAGGGATGACCGTATTCTAATGGTCGCAACCACCTGGGGCTGATGTGACTGTCAGCCACGATGAGCTGCCTATCCAGACACCAGGACTTCATATTTGTAACGCTGGAAAACTGCAGTGTCCGTGTTACTGATCCCCCTACAAAATCCTTCTTCAGTCAAATCAGGAGGAAGATTTTGAACAGCAAACTCTTGGGAAGGGCATAAATGTGCCACCAGGGATATATCAATATGACACTGGTGCGCCCCAGGGAAGTCGTTTTCTTCCTGCACATCTCCTGTTGCCCCCCAGTTTGGTGAGGACAGTACTTCCTTTTCTCCCAGGGGGTCAAACAGTGTAATCAGTGTTCGTGTGCGCTGTATACTGAGGTAGATAAATACAGTCCTCAGCATGAGTAAATTCAAGTCAAATCCACTTATTTGGCATTTTTATCCATGAAATCTTAAAAATGCCAAGATAAACCCATTATGAATAATTGGGTGTGACAAAGACGAGATGGTGCAACGATGTAGGTGAGGGAGGAGATGGAGAAATCAATCCTAAGGAAGGATCTGGCACTCACGAGGCATGAGAGAGCCAGAACTCATCGGTTCAAATATAATCTCCCAGAAGGGGAGATAGGGTAAAAAAAAAAAAAAAAAAAAAAAAAAAGCAACATCTCTCCTTCTTGCACAGACAATGCCTGAGTCCCACGCCTAATTTCCATGAGAAAGGCCACTTCTGGCATTGACATTCTGTGGCATGGAGTCCCTGCCACAGACCTCCTCCTCAATGCGAGGCTGAAAGGGGAGGGGAGGAATAAACTCTGCTTTCCAAAAGGGCTGGAGCTGCCAGAGAGGCCCTTGGAAAGCCAATTGTGCAATGAGGGAAAACAGGGAGGAAGGATCCTTGCACACAGACACAGTGAAACGCCTGCCGAAAATAAGTGGGAGGAGGGCTAAGAGGCATTTCTGATGCATTTATACAGACTTTGAGTGAGTGCTGGTTTAAAGCAAAATTGTTGACAAGGACACTGATGTAGGGTTGATTTTGAATACTGGAGCGTTGCACTGAAGGCTTTCGTTCATATGCGTAACATCCATAAGTGCTGCTGATTTCAAATCCTGGCTCACACAGAGTTTTTATGAGTACTTTTCATTTGTAGATCTTGGAGGGCTTTACAAAGAAGAGCTATAAGTAAGACAGATGGGAAAGTGAGGAATAAAGAGGGGCTTTAAAAGGGCAATGGATTGTTTCTTTAAGGGTTTCTGTGTATAAGAGCTAGATAAGAACTGTCATTTTACTGAATATAAAATATTTTGCAATGGCACACTGTGCCAAATTACTTGTGCATAGATATTTATGTTATTAAGGCAAAGTTTTGTCATGCTGTGTACAAATTGTCTCTAGCTTAGCTTTTGGAAAATATGAAAATAAAAGCATTTAACGGTAGGTTTTAACATAGTGTATGCATGTTTTAGGCACTTTTAAATTGAACAGATCAAAGCCTTTTATTCCTAAATGCCAGAAATCCAGTGATATTTGTGTAACTATGTAATTTGACCTGTCTGTTTTACACGTTCCCAAGGGTTTATTATAGGCAGCTTTCAAATTAAGTGGGATGGAACATTTGATGCTCTCTTCCCTGGTTTTCAAAGCCTGTGCAGAGCCCATACTGTGTGACTGACACTGCTGTTAAAGCGGTAGCATTTTAGTTTTATCACAAGGTACACAGTGCAGCGAGGGAATGGAGATTACTCTGGTCCTCGTTCCGGCTCTGCCACTCCAAGGCAGCCATTTCATTTCTGTCTCCTTCATCTTTCCCCTCCATGGATCTGGGTACAATATTTCTTTATCCTCCAAAATGTCACAAAGCTTAATTAACCTTGAGAAAAGGAAGGGGTAAATTGCAAACAGGGACAGCATGAGGAAGGCCCTGGCAGTTTTAGCGTCTCCATGCTCATACTCACCTGCATGGGGCTGTTTTACCCCTGATGCTTTACAGTGCCGCAAATTTGGCAAGCTTGGGAGAGCCTCAAATACTTTCCCTGCATTTGAAATAATACTATTATATAACCGGGAGGCAGCCATAGGCTGATGGCTCAGTAATGTTTTATGCAGCAATCCTTTCACCCAACAGTGACCTTGTAACTGGATAATAAAAGCTATATTCCATTAGCAGTTGCACCTGTGCTGCCACTATTTACATTGCAATAGCACCTAGAGGCCCCATTGTATAAGGCACAGTAAAACTATCTCTGTCTGGAAGAGACTGAAAGTGGGAGGGGAAGCAGTAACGGAAGCAAAATGTTTGTCTCAAGGTCATATATCAGAAAAGTAGCTCTGGCAGGAGAAAAACTCAGGTCTCTCAAGTCCCAGTACTACACCCTGTGAGCAATGGCTTTCAGGGAAGAAAGGACATATTTACTTCTAGGAATATAATTATAAAATGCTGGGAGATCACAATGTCTGCAGTTGTCCTTTGTTTATTGTTCTGACTGTAGAAGTGCTTCTTTGGTAGTTTTGGAGTTTGGTTTCTTGTTTTCTTTTTAGATGCTTTAAGATTTCATCAAATATTAAATTGCAATTAAATTGTCAATGCCTTTATGAGAGGCATGATTTTATCTGAAGTACATTATGATTTTCCTAATAACAGACCCAAAAGATCAACATTTCTATTTCAGATTTTTCTTTGTTTGAAATGTTAATTTTTCCTGAAGTAATACTTGCTGGTTTTGCAGTTGTCTTTTGTGGGTCATGAAACAATGAATCTTCAAGTCATATCATCCTACTTTCTATCCACTGTGTTTCTATGTCACTATCAGCTCTGCTTTGGTTTGATCTAGCCAGATGGTATCTCACAAGATGCTAGA